TTGCATTGTTCCTTCTTTCTTATGTTCTTATGAGGGCAAATATTCTATTAGTGGGATGAATTGGTTAAGGGCCTGCCTAGTATGGGCCAACAGGCCTGCTGCAGTGTTCCTCCTTTCTTATGTTTTTATGTCCTTAACACTGGAAGATTTTAGGTAAAAAAAAAGGGCATTGGGAGTGATTTATTACACTGGTTTCATACTCTATACTACATGCCATGCATTAGAATTCAAATAAATGGCAAACTGGGTGGACTGTGTACCAAGAACAGAGGTATCCATCAAGGCTGGTCCAGTATCCCAATTATTGTTTGCAGTTACACAGGAATCATTTTATAGGGTAGTTCGAGAACGAGTGATACTTGGTCCATTACGTGTAGGGGGACAAGTCTTCCTGAGTATAGTTGCATATGCTGATGACAACAGAATTAATAAAGGAGGAGTGGAATGCGGTGCACGTGTATGAATTTTTGAGAGGGCTGTGTATTAACCCAAATAAAACAAAAATAATGGGATTAGATTTGTGGGTACATAAAAGTAATTGGGATGACAGTAATGCCCAATATGACTCAGTGTTCAGCAAGCCACTGCCCAGACTAAGGGTCGACAATCCAAATGAATTCTTTATGAACAAAACCCAAAATTTGGTCACCGTAAATATCTCTGATATTATTCTAACTCCACAAGACTTTGAAGAGGCAATTAATGACATGCCCATGCACTCTGCCCCAGGCCCAGACTCATGGAACTCAAGTGTTCATCAAGAATTGCAAGAAGCCCCTATTGTGTGCCTTAAGCATTTTATGGAGAGGGAGCATGGACACAGGGGTCATCCCAGACACACTAAAAACAACAGACATAGCCCCACTCCACAAAGGTGACAGTAAAGCAATTGTAAAGAACTACAGACCGATAGCACTACCTTCCCATATCATAAAAAACTTTGAGAGGGTTCTAAGAAGCAAGATAGCCAACCACCTAGATACTCATCAATTACACAACCCAGGGCAACACGGGTTTAGAGCAGGTTGCTCCTGCCTGTCCCAGCTACTGGACCACTATAACAAGGTCCTGGATGCAGTAGAAGATAAACAAAATACAGATGTAGTATACACAGACTTTGCAAAAGCTTTCAACAAGTGTGAGATAGGTGTAATAGCACGCAAAATGTGTGATGAAGGAATAACGGGAAAAGTTGGTAGATGGATCTACAACTTCCTGACAAATAGAACACAAAGAGAAATAGTAAACAGAGTAAAGTCCCAGACAGCCACAGTAAAAAGCTCTTCCACAAGGCACAGTACTCGCTCCTATTCTATTCCTCATCCTCATTTCTGACATAGACAGAGATGTAAGCCATATCTGCGTGTCTTCCTTTGCGGATGACACCCGGATTACCGTGGCAGTGACCTCCATCGAAGACACTGCGAGACTCCAAGCGGACATCAACCAAATCTTAGAATGGGCCACTCAAAACAATATGAAGTTCAACGAGGAGAAATTTCAACTACACAGATATGGGAAACTTAAGAAATTATAAATGTGTCAGGGTATACAACAAATTCTAACCATATAATAGAGCAGAAAAGTAACGTAAAGAACCTGGGAGTGACAATGTTAGAGGATCTCGCTTTCAAAGACCACAACAATGTATCTACCTCATTGGCTAGGAAAATGATAGGATGGACAATGAGAATCTTCAAAACTAGGGACGCCAAGCCCATGATGATTCTCTTCAAATCGCTTGTGTTCTCTAGGCTGGAATACTGCTGTACACTAACGGCCCCTTCAAGGCTGGCGACATTGCAGACCCGGAGAGTGTACAAAGAGCTTTCGAGGCACATATAAGTACGATTAGGCACCTAAACTACTGGGAATGGTTGAAGGTCCTTGATCTGTATTCCCTCGAATGCAGGTAGAGAGATACATGATAATATACACTTGGAAGGTCCTGGAGGGATTGGTACCAAACCTGCACACGAATATCACTCCCTATGAGAGCAAAAGACTTGGCAGGAGATGCAACATTCCCCCGATGAAAAGCAGGGGTGCCATGAGTACACAGAGAGACAACACAATAAGTGTCTGGGGCCCAAGACTTTTCAACTGCCTCCCTTGGCTTAGCGCTTCTTTTTGATTATAATAATAATCAACTGCCTCCCAGCATACATAAGAGGGATTACCAATAGACCTCTGGCTGTCCTCAAGAGGGCAATGGAGGAGGCACCTAAAGTCAGTACCTGACCAACCGGGCTGTGGTTCGTACGTCAGCTTGCATGCGGCCATGTGTGATGAATGGTTTGAAAAACCGACAAGTTGAAGATTGAGACACTTATGCAGCATATGGGAATCTTTATTCAGGAAACGTTTCGCCACACAGTGGCTTCATCAGTCCAATACAAAGAGGAAGGCGTAAGGAGAGGAGGAGAATGAGGTGATCAGTCCCTCAACCTGGAGTCGATGTGTTCAGTCCATCAATCTTGTAGAATGTACAGCATAGGGCCGTAGACGTGGCTTATATACTGTAGTGAGGTGACATGAAGCAGATGGAGGCGGGGTCATAGTGGTACCATCCACTAGTCGAAGTAGGTCTTCGTCCAAAGGTTGAACAAGTGTTGAAGAATTCTTTGTAACAAGACCCCATGATGCTGCCGTGTCTGACAGTTGTGATGAATGGTTTGAAAAACCGACAAGTTGAAGATTGAGACACTTATGCAGCATATGGGAATCTTTATTCAGGAAACGTTTCGCCACACAGTGGCTTCATCAGTCCAATACAAAGAGGAAGGCGTAAGGAGAGGAGGAGAATGAGGTGATCAGTTCTCCTCCTCTCCTTACGCCTTCCTCTTTGTATTGGACTGATGAAGCCACTGTGTGGCGAAACGTTTCCTGAATAAAGATTCCCATATGCTGCATAAGTGTCTCAATCTTGCATGCGGCCAACAGTAACAGCCTAGTTGATCAGACCCTGATCCACCATGATGCCTGGTCTCAGACCGGGCCGCGAGGGCGTTGACCCCTGAAACCCTCTCCTGGTAAACGCCAGGTAGTTGCAGAACCCGTAAAAATTTGTTGCACAAGTTTTGATAATGAGAGGGCAAAAGCCAGAGAAAGTAACACATACATGGTAAGGGATGGTATGTTAAAGATATTAGGAACTTAAAGGAATGCAGGTTAACTATGTTGCAAAGAGCAGTAGTGGTTACTACACTGGTGTAATCAAAAGCATTTTATGTACCCAGATACCTATTTGCTGCTAAGTGAGCAGGACAGCAGGTGTAGAGAAACACGTAGAAATGTTTCTACCCCGCCAGAATCGAACCCGGACCCTCCGCGTGTGAAGTAAGAGCTTTGCCAGCCAAGGAAGGTTCCTTGATGTTGGTGAGGGGCTCTTGATTTAGGGAATTGGATCTGTGCTCCAGTTCCCCGAATTAAGCCTGAATACCTTCCACATCCCCCCCCCAGGCGCTGTATAATCCTCCGGGTTTAGCGCTTCCCCCTTGATTATAATAATAATATATAATAATATTGGTGGATGAATTTGGTAGGGTGTGCAAAAGAAGAAAATTAAAGGTGAATACAGGAAAGAGTAAGGTTATGAGGATAACAAAAAGATTAGGTGATGAAAGATTGAATATCAGATTGGAGGGAGAGAGTATGGAGGAGGTGAACGTATTCAGATATTTGGGAGTGGACGTGTCAGCGGATGGGTCTATGAAAGATGAGGTGAATCATAGAATTGATGAGGGAAAAAGAGTGAGTGGTGCACTTAGGAGTCTGTGGAGACAAAGAACTTTGTCCTTGGAGGCAAAGAGGGGAATGTATGAGAGTATAGTTTTACCAACGCTCTTATATGGGTGTGAAGCGTGGGTGATGAATGTTGCAGCGAGGAGAAGGCTGGAGGCAGTGGAGATGTCATGTCTGAGGGCAATGTGTGGTGTGAATATAATGCAGAGAATTCGTAGTTTGGAAGTTAGGAGGAGGTGCGGGATTACCAAAACTGTTGTCCAGAGGGCTGAGGAAGGGTTGTTGAGGTGGTTCGGACATGTAGAGAGAATGGAGCGAAACAGAATGACTTCAAGAGTGTATCAGTCTGTAGTGGAAGGAAGGCGGGGTAGGGGTCGGCCTAGGAAGGGTTGGAGGGAGGGGGTAAAGGAGGTTTTGTGTGCGAGGGGCTTGGACTTCCAGCAGGCATGCGTGAGCGTGTTTGATAGGAGTGAATGGAGACAAATGGTTTTTAATACTTGACGTGCTGTTGGAGTGTGAGCAAAGTAACATTTATGAAGGGATTCAGGGAAACCGGCAGGCCGGACTTGAGTCCTGGAGATGGGAAGTACAGTGCCTGCACTCTGAAGGAGGGGTGTTAATGTTGCAGTTTAAAAACTGTAGTGTAAAGCACCCTTCTGGCAAGACAGTGATGGAGTGAATGATGGTGAAAGTTTTTCTTTTTCGGGCCACCCTGCCTTGGTGGGAATCGGCCGGTTTTGATAATCAAAAAAAAATAATGATAATATATAATTTATTATTATTTTATTATATAATAATTATATTACTTTTAATTTATATATTATATTTATATTATTGTTGTTGTTGTTGTTGTTATTATATTTTATTATTATTATTATTATTTTTTATTATTATTATTATTATTATTATTATTATTATTATTATTATTATTATTATTATTATTATTATTATTATTAATTATTATTATTTATTATTATTATTATTATTTTATTATTATTATTATTATTATTGTTATATATTGTTATTATTATTATTATTATTATTATTATTATTATTATTATTATTATTATTATTATTAATTATTATTTATTATTATTATTATTATTATTATTATTATTATTATTATTATTATTATTATTATTATTAATTATTAATTATTATTATTATTATTATTATTATTATTATTATTATTATTATTATTATTATTATTATTATTATTATTGCTGCTGCTGCTGCTGCCTAGCTTTGGGAAATCTGTCTTAGTAGTTGATGGGGAGGTCTGACTCACTACAGTAAGCTGTCAGTGGACCTTAAAAACCCAACAAGAAGACGGTGGTCACTAGTAAACAAACAGATACATACATAAATAATTCAAGTACCGGTTTTTGAAGGTATATATTTGTGTTATGATGTTGTATTTGCAATTTATGTATTCGCAGTTGGATAAAAGCACGATTATGCGAAGTATTCGGGGCTAAACTAATTGTACAGTTATGCCCTCCAGGGAGGTTCCTTGACACCTGTGAGGGGCTTATTGATCCAATATATTGTACCTGCCTTTACCTTCCATGGAGTCATCCTGAATGCCATCCATTTCTCCATGCATTGTATAGCCTTGGGGTTTTAGAGAGCTCCCATAAATGTAATAATAATAATAACTGCACTGGTTATTAGCCAGTTATAATAATAAGAAATAAAAAGTCACTTTGACTTACTTGGGTTATCCTAAGTAATTTACACATGTAATATATAATAATAATAATAATAATAATAATAATAATATAATAATAATATCTTTATTTCTACAAATACATGTACAAGGTATACGAGCCTAGCTGACATCAATGACATGCCACTGTATAGAAAGCCGCGTGCTATGCAGAGCTTTTCGTGCAAATTAGGCCAGTTTTGCCCCAGGATGCAACCCACACCAGTTGACTAACACCCATGGAAATTATTTTACTGATAGGTGAGCATAGACAGCATGTCTTTCAAAATTGACTTGTTTGAATCACTGCTGCTCACAAGAGCTATCCTTACATGCCATTAAATGCCAGTGTTGAAGCTTCTGAAGTTGATCAGAAAAGGCATTCAGAAGTTATCTGAGCTGGGTTTAGAGCTCCTCCATGATGATGATGATGATAATCAAAAGTTATCTCATGGATACTAATAGCAATGTTTTTTTAGTGTGTACTACATTTATACCCAGTACATTGTCTATTATATTTTTTAGTAAGAGTAGACAGCTGCTACTTGATGGACTTAGGTTATTAATTGTAGTTTGAATTGTACAATACTAAGTTTGTTTTATTACCTGGAGAGGGTTTCAGGGATCAACGCCTCCGTGGCCCTGTCTTATTTTATGCAAGTAGTGAAAAACATAATGAAGCCTAATGAAATCCACTTAACCCAACCTAGAATAATCTAATGTAATTTAACCTAACTCTGCCATTGGTACTGGTGTGACTTTGTTTCCATTTGACCAGGCATGTAACACTACTCAGTATTAAGTGTTGACTACCTCAGACATGCTGCATAACCAAAATATACTGCCTTCACTAATATCTCCAGAAACAAAAATTTCCACAGGAAGTAGTTATTCCATGGTGTACTTAGGTTGTATGTATGTATGTATTGTAAAATGCAGGTTAATGCCAAATAATGATATTGTTAGTAGTTAGTCTTATTGTAAGTAGTAGTCTTAGCTTGAAACTACTCTGTCAAATAATTATGGGTTTTTTTGTTTTAAGAAATATTAATGATAACCAACTACTGCAGCTAATACATGTATTTAAGAAATGAGGTTATCTTATTAAAATATTATATGCCAACTGAAAGTTTAAAGCCAATCAAAAGAGGCATTTGCACAGAAACTAATATTTATTTCTTCAACAAAATTGACAAATTAGTACTCTACAAGGGTCATTTAAAATATGAGCAGGCCCCATGGCCTGATCACTAAAGCTCTCACTTCACACAGCGAGGGTCTACGTTCGATTCCCACCATGGGTAGAAACATTGGGCATGTTTCTTTACACCGGTTGTCTACGTTCACCCATCAGTAAAATGGGTACCTGGGTGTTAGTCGACTGGTGTGGGTCACATCCTGGGACAAGGACCTAATTTGCCAGAAATGCTCTGCATGACAAGGGGCTTTCTATATAGTAGTATGTCATTGATGTGAGGAAATTAAAACTTCATCAGAGTATAAAACAAATTCCAGCCACATAATAGAACGAAAAAGTAACGTCAAAGATCTGGGAGTGATCATGTTGGAGGATCTCACCTTCAAGGACCATAACATCGTATCAATCGCATCTGCTAGAAAAATGGCAGGATGGATAATGAGAACCTTTAAAACTAGGGATGCCAAGTCCATGATGACACTTCAGGTTGCTTGTTCTATCTAGGTTGGAATATTGCTGCACACTAACAGCACCTTTTAAGGCAGGTGAAATTGCTGAACTAGAAAATGTACAGAGAACCTTCACAGCACGCATAATGGAGATAAAACACCTCAATTATTGGGAGCGCTTGAGGTTCCTGAACCTGTATTCCCTGGAATGCAGGTGGGAGAGATACATGATTATATACACCTGGAAAATCCTAGAGGGACTAGTACCGAACTTGCACACGAAAATCACTCCTTACGAAAGCAAAAGACTTGGCAGATGATGCAACATCCCCCAATGAAAAGCAGGGGTGCCACTAGCACGTTAAGAGACAACATAATAAGTGTCAGGGGCCCAAGGATGTTCAACTGCCTCCCAGCATACATAAGGGGGATTACCAATAGACCCCTGGCTGTCTTCAAGCAGGCATTGGACAAGCACCTAAAGTCCGTACCTGACCAGCCGGGCTGTGGTTCGTACATTGGATTGTGTGCAGCCAGCAGTAACAGAATGGTTGATCAGGCCCTGATCCACCATGAGGCCTGGTCACAGACCGGGCCGTGGGGGTGTTGACCCCTGGAACTCTCTCCAGGTAAACTCCAGGTAGGCCTATATACCATGTACATATACTTGTAGTAAATAAAGATATTATTATGTTATATTATTATAAAATACTCCAGCACTACTAAAGCTGCTCAGAAGTTGCATTCTCAGATTATTTCAGGGAGAATAAATACCTTCACAATATTTTATAAATTTTGCAGATTGGCACCTATACAACCCAGAATCAATCCAAAAAAATAATTTGTGGTGAAATGCACCTGCACTTAGAGTCTACCACCACCAGAAGTGGCATTCTGTAGTTCCTGCAGAGAAACCAATTTGCTTATTAAAATTGGCAAATTAAAACTAGAAAATAATGTACTTAATAATAAGACTATTAATAAATTTATTAATGCTATTTACTGAACTGTAGATGTGGTAAATAGGTGTCCCATAGCTTGATCGCTAGGGCACTCATCTTACATACTGAGGTCCGGGGTTCGAATCTCCTCCAGTATGGCTGGAAAACATCAGGGACATGTTTCCATAAGACACCTGCTGTTCCTGTCCCTTTTCATCCATCAGTTTAACCCGTAAACGGTCCAAGCAGATCTACGTTCACATGTGTAGTACTACAAAAGTAGATCTATGTATTTTTTACATATTTTCAAATATAACAAAAAAAAAGTAGATCAAAGTTTTTTACACATTTTCAAATGTAAAAAAACAAAAAGAAGATCTACTTTTTTTACTTACTTTCAAATGTTGAAAAAACGTATATATACGTTTGGACCGTTTACGGGTTAAAATGGGTACCTGGGTGTTATTTGACTGGTGTAGGTCGCATCCTGGGACTAAACTGACCTAATTTGCCTGAAATGCTCAGCATAACAAGTGACTTTCTATATAGTAGTATGTCACTGATGTCAGCTAGGCCTGTATACCATGTACATGTAGTAAATAAAGATATTATTATTATTATTATTATTATTATTATTATTATTATTATTATTTATTATTTATTATGGTCTAAAGTACTAGATAAGGAAACCTAGAAGGAGTTAACCTAGATCATTACACTATTGTTGCTCTGTGGCTCATTCAAGTCTAGTCCTTTCTTGTGAATATAATTATAACATTGTATCTTAATTGGGAAAGTGAAGAAGAAAAGAGGGCATTCTTTAGAAGAGTAAGCCAAGCAGTGTGGCCTACTTTCATTGGGATTCTTCTAATTTTTCCTGTGAATGCAGCCCACAGCAGTCAACTAACTCCTGGGTAGAATCTGTTTACTACTAAGTAAATAGGGGTTGCAAGTGTAAGATCTGCTTATACATTTCGTCTTGCCTAAGATTCAAAATCTTGTTGCTTTTGGCTGTGAAACAAGTGCTTTACCACTGACCTACAAGGCACTAGACTGAAATATAAGAGTGAATGACTGGCTGTAGTAAGAATCTATCATAGGTGCCCAAATCTGAAGGAATAGGGCAAAAGAGAGTTGCAACAGCAGTACCTGCTGCAAAGCCCAGTTTATTGAGTTGACATAGCAGGGAAGAGGGAGGGTTTCCAGATGGAGTGGTGGGAATTAAAATGCTCCCAGTATGGGTCTTGCAGTAATGCTCCCAGTATGGGTCTTGCAGTAATGCTCCCAGTATGGGTCTTGCAGTAATATTCTAGTTCCTCCCTAAAAGTATCCCTTCTCAGGTTATAAACCAGGAAGAGGAAACACTACTCCACCATGATTTTGTAATATACCATACAGTATTTCACGAGAACTTTTCACATTTAAGATACAGTTGTTATCAGTTGCTGTACATTTATGTATAGTATTATGTGAATGTGTCGATTCCATTCAGAAATTAGTAAAATTTTGTTAGACTTCATTTTTATAAGCTGTTTTATCTGTTCAGTAATATTATAATCTAGTTTATTTGCAGATTGTAGATAATATTTGCAGTAATTATGGTACATATACAGAACATGTGTGTGACATATAAATCTTAGGAGCTTATGAAAATAAATTTTATTGATTTTGTTAGGTTATCCTTGGCTAGATCATCACTTGTCACAATTGTATACATACACTGATTATGTGTAGATATACAATGTAAAATATACAATGGCTTGGACCTCAAAATACATTTTTCTGTGTATTGACCTGATACAGAAACTTGATAATAAATATTACATTGTTTCACCTGATCCTGAAGTTATTCATTGGTGAATTGAGTTTAAAAGCTGCAGTGAATCCCAACTTTGAAAGTTGCAATCATTGGCATTGGGATTTTGCAGGTCAGTTGGTTTGATTGTTCCTGGGGCTAGTGGGTGTTTTTACAAATACAGTGGAACCCTGGTTTTTGAACTTAATCCGTTCTAGGAGGTTGGTCTAAAACAGAAACGTGCGAAAACTGAATCAATATTTCCCATAAGAAATAATATAAATACGATTAATCCATTCC